ACCCCACCCAAACTCTCCACCTACCTAGCTACAGTAATCACCTAGCTCTAATAGTGTATACATACCCCATCAAGAAGTTACTTCTTGATGGAGTAGGTATACACTATTAGAGTTAGGTGATTACTGTAGCTAGTTAGGTGGAGAGCTTGGGTGGGGTGGTGAGCTGTTGACTTCTAACACTTACAAGATCTACATCTTGAAGATCTTGAAGCGGGCACACCCTGGTGGCGTCGGGATGCACTTTTAGACAACCGTGTCGAGTGATAGTTACAGGAAACCCTGAAATGGAAAATTAGCAGACCTTCTATAGCTGGGACAAATTTCCAAAACAAACCTATTTGCCAAAAAAATTCAAAAAAAGACCAGTTTCAAACTTAATTTTAAAAACCGACCCAGTTGGGTTGAAACTGGATCGGTTTTTTTAAAAAAAATCTCAAACTTCACGGGAGTTGAAGTCCCGTGAAGTTTTGTTATATTCACGGGAGTTAAAGTCCCGTGAAGTTTTATTATATAACAAAACTTCACGGGACTTCAACTCCCGTGAAGTTTGGGATTTTTTTTTTAAAAACCGACCAATTTCAGCCTAACTGGATCTGTTTTTGAAATTAAGTTTAAAATGAGTCTTTTTTTGGGAATAAAATTCAAAAGAGATCAGCTTTGAAAATTTGCCCTCTACAGCTGAGAAATTAAAGACAATGATATCTTGATGGTTTTTGCTCTGTTGGTGTAGCCAGTAGAAACAAGAATGTTGTACTCTGAGCTACTGTGCTGATTTACTCGAAGCGATGAAGTTTTATATTTTGTAATTAGTTTGGATTCTATGTGTGCCTTTTTCAATTGAGATGCGTTTGGTTTGGATTATTATTGTAATTTTAGTCCAAAACTGGTTCCAGTACTGATAAAATTTATATTTATAGATATAAGTTACAGTTATTATCTTATTAAGATGTGAATTGGATTTGACTGGAGGACTAATTCTCCTTTTAGTTATTTCAAATTAAATCCGTCTATTTGCCGATTTCAATCTTGATTGAAGAAACTAATTCCAAACGTAATATTTAATTTTTTTTATATAAAGTAAAAAAGTAAAATTTTTTCATATAAATTAAAAAAATTATAGTTTTTTATTAGAAATTTTCATGTAAATTTTTAAAAAAAATCATGTAAATTAAAAATTTTCATATAACATAATATGTTACTTTTATAGTTTTCTAACTACTAAATTTGTTTGATTTGCTATTAAATCTTCAAAATTCTATTTTTAAAATAGAATTAAGAAATATTTAAATTAAAATTTGGATGGGTTTAACAAGAAATTTAACAAATGATAATATGTCAAAAGCTCTAGAAGTAATATATGAATGTTATATAGGGATTTCCTGGTGAAATTTTTCATGTTTGCTTAATAGAGGATATTGACATGCCGATTTTAGACAACTTATGATATATAACCGCTATGAGAAATAACTATGAATATACAAGTACTAAGGGAGTGAAACTGTGAAACTATAAGACATTTAACTACCATTTACCCATGATTTAATGGCAAATATATCTTGATCCTTGATTTTATTGTTACCATTTGTGTTTTATTTAATAAGCCATTAAGCCCAGATCCATTAAAAGTTGTGGTTTGGTCAGGTTTAATATTGAGTTGCGTCATAGAGTTTACATTGGTACGTGGTTTGTGATTAAATAGCTAATATTCGTATATGGGTTTGTGATGAAATGGCTAAAAATTATCCCACTAAAACTCGAAAATTCCTTTGATTTCTTATATGATGTTTTGAGGAAATTATTCTAATTTTGAAGTTTCAGACTTTGGTTATACTTGACCTTGAGTTTCCTGATAGATAATTGGTACTGGATATCCAACAGCATCCCGAGTTCTATAATAATAGAAATACACAATAATATTTTTGAGCTTGTATATTAGAACTTAGAATAATGTTATTTCTTGTAATTTCGTTAACAGTTTAATAAGTGAAATTAATATCTTAAATATTTTTTAAGAATAATGTTTAGGCATTTTCCCACTTGAATAATTTGAAATAGAAAAGAACAAAATTGTGGGGACATAAAACGTCTGCTACTCCGTATCAAAGTAGAATTTTAATATTGCAACCCTAATTAGCGAGGCACATTATATATTGTTACATTCTAGAGAGCACAAATTTGATAAACCATTAAAAACAGGCCACATGGCAATCGGGTGGGTTAGTCATATAACAAAAGGATCCGACCCAAATATAGACACAGTCGGACCAACCAAGCTGGCCTCTCCAACAATCCTAATCTGAGTCACTAGGCGTCTTCAGATCGGACTCCGCCAGAGAGTATTAGTCTCGATGCAATGAAGGAAATATCCGACTGTCTCGTCAGCGTTACCCACATCAAATGCATGACCAGGTGTTATGATGATTCCTCAGATGGTACCCATAACTCCGCCACTTAGTCGCCAAAGCTTTAAATGCACAGCCAGATGATGTTATAATGACTCCTCGGATGTCGTCCATAACCCCGCCACGTAGTCGCCCATACATTCAATGTACGGCTAGATCTTATAATCACTGCTTTTATGTCACCCATACTCCATTACCCTCTATCGTTATCACATTAAATGCGGTATGGGCGGCCTCTCATACTCCGATGTCGAATGTTTTTCCTAACATCAAGGGCACAAAGTTCTCCAGCTCATCAATCAAAGGTATAACAATCCCTCCAATCACAGCTCATCACATTTCTCTCATAAACTGCTTCCTACGTACCCCTTTCAAATTCCACTTCATAAACCTCCTAATTAAATGTTACAACTTAAATTCCTTCGGTCCCCTGATCGTTGGGTTTTGGAAAGTGAAGTGTTACTTAAGGCCCCGCTTGGCAAATGGTTAATGAAGAGGGGTTAAAGAGAAGGATTAATGTATTTAGTCTATTTGATAATCCGAAGGACTAAATTATTAACCCGTTAAATAAGTTTTATTTTAACCCTTATGATCAGTTTTAGTGTTTGGGAATAACAATAAATTTGACTATTTTCTTTATAATTAGAAGGGTTAACTCTTATTCCATCTAAATAGGAGTATTAGTAAACCCCTCATTTTGAGGGGTTAACTCATTTTAACCCCTCTAGAAGGGTTAACTTAACCCTTCTATATTTTTTATGTTTGGCAAATTATGAAGGATTAACTTACTTTAACAATTATATAGATTTGTTGTGTTTGGCAGGTTAAGAAAGGGTTAAGTCTCCTTAACCTCTCACTTAACCCTTTGCCAAACGGTACCTAAGTTCTTTTCTTTGTTTGGAGTAATCTTTTTTTGGCCTTTCCCATCTTTCATATTGTATTCCCTTTTTGGTGCCCTATAGATTTTTAGGGGCGGTGGATCCGATGTACATATTCAGCATTAGTCTCATGGGATATTTTTTTTTTAGCCCACTAAATGGGAGATTTTAACCTTGACTAAGAAGAAACCAAAATCTTGTTTTGTTTTACACAAATCACTCCAATAGTAGTGTTAGACTGTTGGGATAATTTTCTTAGCCCATTAAGGGGTGCTTGTTTACATATAAGTGAAAGACGAAAGTGAGGAAGTGACTTTCTTTTAACATTTTATGTGCTTGTTTGCATGCAAATGGTATAATGAAAGTGAAATGCACCAAAGTTGTCACATAGAATTAATGCAATTTTGACTTTCTGTGAAAAATGGTGAAGCCACGTGAAAGTGTCAGAAATAGTAATCAATTTTAATTATATTTATTAATTGATAATTTTTGCCACGCTATATTCGCATTGCATTTTCAACAATAAATTCATTTTTTAAAGCAAATATTGTATTCCACTTACATGCTGATGTAGATGCAAACATTATTTGCAAAAAAAAAAAAAAAACAAAAAAAAAAAAAAAAATTACACAATTTCAATTTATTTGAAAAAAAAAAAAAAAAACAAAAAAAAAAAAACAACTTACACAATTTCAATTCACTTTTGAACAACCAAACACCCACTAAATGGGAGATTTTTCCCTCTCGAATTCTCTTTAAAATCAACATTTTAAACAGTATTTGTGAGGAAGAAAAAAAATGCTAAATTCAACTATAAGTTTTTGAGTCATCTGTGCACTAGAAATTGATCTGACTTTCGCTCTCTAAAGAGTTTATTTTATGATAATTCAGAGTACTGGTAATTATATGATATGCGAAGCCAGGAAGGGTTCTCTTTTACTTATTAAATTGAATTGAATATAAAAAGAATATGACAAAATATTGTAAAAGTTAAAGATGATTTCGAAAGATTCGATGGATAATAATTGTACATTTGTACTACACAACTTTTGCATCTTCCACAACCTATCTCTATTTACTAATAATTTACTAATAAGTGAAATTATAATTGTCGGGATTTCATATTTTATGAGAATAAGATGGTCAAAGGTAAATTGGCCTCAGGGTAAATTGCATTAAACACCACCAAGATATACAAAGACAGCAATAAATCTCTCTAAAATTTTAGAGCTAACACTTTAGTTATTACCTTTTCCCCCGTCAAACAAGATTATGGACAAATTTTGAAAACAAATCCCATTTGAAACTTATTTATAAAAAACGATCCATTTGCATCTTATTTGTCAAAACGACCCAGTTTCAGTCAGATGGTTAAAACTGGGTCGGTTTTGATGTAAAATTGATCGAAATTTCACAAGACTTTAAGTCCCTTGAATTTTTGTTATGTAAAAAACTTCACGGACTTCCAAGTCCCGTGAAGTTTATGTCAAAATGAATTTGTTTTCAAATTTTGTCCACAAGATAATATGAATATCACGTGATCCATTTAAAAAAAGAAAAGACTAATGTTTGGGACTATTGTGAAAAAACCTCGCCAAAAATAATATCGCAAGAAATCGTTTCCCGCTAACTCCGGTTAAAAACAAACCCCAAAATCGGGTTCGCTCGATCCCGCGGGCTGGTGGGGTCGACCCGAACCGCCCATTTACTCCCCATGTTCGAAACGGGAAAAGAAAATATCTAGGGCTTCGAAAATTGGGCATGAAGAATATTCTCCCCTCTTTTGATCTAATCTCAATTTCGATCTCGATCTCTCTTTGAAAATGGAGACTCAATGGGTCGCCGAGTATCCTCACGCCGTCATGGAGAAGCGACCGAGGAAGAGGCCGAGGCTTACTTGGGACATGCCGCCTCCGATCCCGCCACCAAAGGTCGATTTAATTTAATTTATTTTTTTTGATGTTTTTTGCTGTAAATTTTGTACTTTTGGGAGATAATTGGTTGGTTTTACTTAGTTTCTTCAGATCAGCTGATTTGATTCGGTTTTTTGAATAGATATTGTCCGGTTCCTGTATTATCTGATCCAGAATTTATTTTTGTTATAATATATGTTTCAATTCTTGTTGATTGCATTTTGTTAGCTATAATTCTTTGTCTCGCTTTTAGAGTTGTTGCTTTCGTACTCCGAATTTGCATTCTAGAGAGTTTGGGAAGAGAGATGTTCTTTGAGATCTCGTAGATCGTTGAGCAAAAGGTTAATTGATCCTGTTCGGAATCATTCTGTTGGAAATATTTTGGTCAATTATTTTGAATTTTTCGTTGAAAGTTGAGATTTTGTTGCGTTTAATAAAAGGTAAATTTTTCTTATTAAGACAAACATTGCCTTATGGATCAGAGTGTTGGACAATTATAAAACAATACATGTGAAAAGTGGTTGTAGCAGAAATGAGAATGTTAGTATGGTCTTCTGGGTATAGACTAAAAGAAAGGATAAGAAATGATTCCATTCGTTGGAGATTAGAGATTGCTCCTAGGGAGCATAAAACGAGAGAGAACTAATCGAGATGATTTGGTCATGTACAAGAGAGGTCACTTAATACACCGGCTGTGATAAGTAGCAAGGTTTATAGTTACTGGGGCAAAGTGGACTTGCGTGGAAGCAATTAAGAAAATGCAATAAATGGAAGAATAGGATTCATGTAACTGCACCAAAAACTTGGGGTGAAAGCTTTGTTGCTGCTGCTGTGCTGCTGTTGTTGTGCTGCATTTGTTTTTTTTAACAGATTTCATTTTGTTATTTACCTCTCATGATTTTGGTTTATTTTTCCATTCAATTTCTAGTTCTTTTTTTGTTAGTGAATTTTCTTCCTTTTCTTTTATGCTAGAGATGCATTAGTGAATTGTTCTGAAACTTTGAAGGCTTTTCCCCCATTTTTGTTGATATTTATATCGCTAGTTTTATGTATTTATGTGGTTGTGGATAAATTTATTGTCATGATTAAGTTTATGTATCTGTTTTTTCTTCAGTCAAATGCTATTGCTGTAATCTCTTTTATTTTGGTATCTCTTTTCAATTATTTTTTTCAACAAGTATTAGTATAGAAAAAAATGAATGGATCTTCTGTATGAGGGATCATTGGCATTTTCTACAAAGCTACTGAAGTGTGACATTCTCTATTGGAAAAAATGTCTCTTTATAGATACCAAGGCAGATGTATTGTGGGCTGGAAGCTGTGAATGGGGTTGACTCAAGCCATATATTCTCCTCATACTACTACCCTGGAATGCCTCACCATGCATCTCCTCCATGGAGAGAGGATGACAAGGATGGTCATTATGTGTTTGCAGTTGGTGACAATCTAACTCCTAGATGTAATTTCCGTATCTCTCTCTTTTTTATACTCTTGTCTGTTTGATTGCTTCTGACTTTGATTTAGTTCTATAATAAAGTCAGTCATTCTTACTGACCCTTTTGTACTACTAACCAGAAATTAAATTGGTAGAATGGGATTGCTAGAATTTTGAGTTCTTCTCTTTATCATCCTCTAGATTATTTGTTTAATTGTGCTATAAAATCCAGGTCACCTAGCAATACATTTATTGCTATTTAGCATCTATAATTTTATTTACACCAATAGCGTACAGAAGCTTGATTCTTGCATGTGTATGATCACACTTTATTTGGTCTTCATATTTATTCAACAAGTTACTCTTTTTTGCTCATTCATTGTTACTCTCTCTCCCTCCTCCCTCCCTCCCCTCCCCCTCCCGCTCCGAAACGTACATCGTAGTCTCATTTGTGCATAAATATTTGATAGGGACTTTTGGGCAAGTTCTAGAATGTTGGGACTTGCAAACGAGAGAATTTGTTGCAATCAAAATTGTAAGATCGATTCACAAGTACCGTCAAGCTGCCATGGTCGAAATTGATGTTCTTCAGAAGCTCTCAAAGCATGATATTGGTGGCAGTCGGTAGGACTCTTTCTCCGTATGTTTACCCTTTTGATTTAATCTGTTCAAGTTGCATTAGCATAAGATTTTTATTCTTTGCAGTTGTGTGCAAATTCGGAATTGGTTTGACTATCGTAATCATATATGTATTGTAAGTATTTTGTTGATGCCTTCTATTTGATTAATTTGTGAAGGCAATAAGTTCTCTTATTGCCTGAACATTTGGGTAGTTACATTTTGCAAGTGGGTTTAAATGGTTCAACAGGTCTTTGAAAAGCTTGGACCCAGCTTGTATGATTTTCTTCGGAAAAATAGCTACCGTTCATTTCCTATCGACCTAGTTCGGGAGCTCGGAAGACAGCTTTTGGAGTCTGTAGCATGTGTGTGGATACTTACTATACTTTATTTCATGCTCCAGCTGAAATGCTTGAGCATTCTTTACGGATTAAAAAAAGAACCAATATCATAATTTATTTTATTTTTGGGTTCTATTTTTCATTTGCTAACTTTTTCTTCTCGGGGATGAGAATATTTATTGGAGCAAACCTAGAGCTTATTTAATTTGATTCCTGTTGTTTCTTTGCTTTACACAGTCATGCACGACTTAAGGCTTATTCATACTGATTTGAAGCCAGAGAACATTCTCCTTGTTTCATCGGAATATGTCAAGATCCCTGATTATAAGGTAGGCATTTCAATGCATTTAACCAGTTTTTCGTAGATTTAACAACTTAAAACAATTGGTTCCGTCTTGAATGCCTGGTTGGAGGGGTGAATATCTTTTCGACAAAATTTGGAATTTTATATGAGTGCTTATGTTATATGTTTTTCCTCACTTTTTCATGCACACAGTTTCTTCCACGATCATCTAAGGATGGTTCGTACCTAAAGAATTTACCCAAGTCCAGTGCTATTAAGCTCATTGATTTTGGGAGCACGACATTTGAAAATCAGGAGCATAACTATGTGGTGTCAACACGGCATTATCGTGCACCAGAAGTTATACTCGGTATAATTAGTTTGTGTTGGTACGGCTTCTCTTTTATGGGTAGGAATTTATCAATACTTGTTTTTTTCCTTTTTCTTTGAAGGACTTGGGTGGAACTATTCTTGTGATTTATGGAGTGTGGGTTGCATCCTTGTCGAGCTGTGTTCGGTGAGTTTCATCATATTGGTTGTTTCTCCATTTATGTTTTGTGGTTGCTATATGTTTGATTAGCTATGTTCTAATTAGTACTCTTTTTGGTTAAAATGCATTACATGACACTTTGCTCATTTGTGGTTTTCATATACCAACAGGGAGAGGCACTCTTTCAAACTCATGAGAATTTGGAACACTTGGCTATGATGGAGAGGGTGTTAGGCCCATTGCCGCAGCACATGATGCACAGAGCAGAGTAAGTCTTCTTTTTCCTATTTTCTTCTATATTTAGGGACATCTACTATTTTCTTGTGCTAAGCTGCTAATGAGAAGATGAGTAGTAGATCCAGGCCTTTTCTGATACACAGATAATATACAAGATGAGTAACTTTGGCTTTTCTGTTTCTTTTTTCCTGCTGGCAGCCGCCGAGCTGAGAAGTATTTCCGGAGAGGTGTACGGTTGGATTGGCCTGAAGGGGCTACTTCTAGGGAAAGCATGAGAGCAGTTTGGAAATTGCCTCGTCTTCAGGTAGATATTATTAAATTTTAGTCTTATTTATTTTTTGTTATGTATTGGACTTACATGGAGATTTGTTGCAGAACCTTGTGATGCAACATGTTGATCACTCTGCTGGGGATCTAATTGATCTGCTACAAGGGCTTTTGCGGTATGAACCAGCAGAGCGTCTGAAAGCACACGAAGCCCTCAGGCACCCTTTCTTTACCAGAAATACTAGCATATGTTATCCTGTGTAACTAAAATGTCTCTTTTCTGAAAAAAAGATGGAAAAGATATGAGGGTTTGCTTCACTGAGTGATTAGCTTGACCTGCAGACATTTTGCTAATCAGATGTGTAAGATTGCTGTTGCTGTTGTATAGGAAATTGTTCATGTGATTGATGTACCCAATTGAAACAGCAATAACAGGCTTGGTTTATGTTACGTAAACTTGGTTTATGGCTAAACTATTAGGCTATTATAATCCCTAGTTTTTTTTAATCTTTCTGACTGAACTTGGCTTCGAGTTTCTGCAGTTTGATGATATGTAGCAGCATGTTGATGTGGATCTGGGTCATGATGTTAGCACATTGCGGAAGCAAGGTATGCATTGTACTGTCAGGTGAGAAGTCAATTGCCTTTTCTTCTAAGATTTACTTTATCACTAGTTTGTTTGCAGACTTGAGGCTTCTTGTCTGGAGGATTTATTACCATAACAGCAGCAGCAACAAGAAGACGGCATGTAACCCAAAATTTCGTGGTCGGCTACATGAATCCTAGTATCCTACTTTTTCATTCAGTTTGTTGGGGTCTCTCCTCCACTTAGTTGATCATTATCGTATCCTTTTTAACAGTTTTGACCAACACCATGTCGTCATTCTCTCTTCATTGATAATAACCTTCTAATTTCTGCATTTAATGACCTCCTTTGTACATGACCAGGCCATCTTAAATGAATTCTCTCTCATTTCGTTCTCAATAGGAGCTGCCTCCAACTGCCTATGAATACACTCCTTTCTTATCCCAGCCCTCACTGTATATCCACTCTTAATTTTAACAGTTTTGCTACACCCATTTTGTGCACATGTTTTTTAATTGCCCAACATTGATCCATAAAACATTTACGCACATGCGGTCATAAAGCATTATGACCATGAAGAAACTCCATTTTGGAGAACTGAAATAGTCCCAAGTGGTTTTCACATCTAAATTTCTTTTCTCTCTCTCTTGACCAAGTGCTTTACTAACTACCTCCATCTTCTCTCAATATTTCACACGAGTATCTAACACCCAATTATCAGCACGCTGCAACATCCTCTATCCAAATCTAGACTTAATATATTACTTTTGGGAGAAGAGTTTATCACTACTCACATTCCAATCGACCTGGTCACCTGGGTCATATGATTAGTTCATGTTTTATTGGACTGTTTAAGCGTAGGGTATTTAAAAGATTTGTTTATTAGCTTAATCATTATGACTGATAATCCGCCAGTCATGCCACAGTGGTAGAGCCAGCAGGTTATTTTTCTGTATGGAAGCCTTGCTGAAAACCACACTATATTGAATTTTTTTTATTGTGTGCTCTATTCTTTTGACGATGTTTACAATTTTTTTTTTGTTTTTTTTAATAACATGTTGAAGTTGATGAGGGTTGAAATTAGTCTAGTCCGCCGTCTTATGGATGATGTGAATATACTAGCATGGTAGAACTATTTTATTTGACTTAGTCGCCTGTTAGAAGGACACAAGTCGGATTACACATTTTATTTATTGCCTTTTTGAAGTTTCGGAGAGTAGTTTCTTTTGCACTGTCAGTACTCCATTGAAAATTCATTGATTCTTCCTCGTGGTGAAGAGAGAGCATGGGAAAAGTTGCAGGATTTTCAGTGTTGGATATAGTGGTTTACTTGCTAGCAGGAGCAGGTCTGAGTGAGTCTCAGACTCAGTTCCCTGCAAATTTTAATGCAGAAAATATTGACATGTTCTCTAATTCCCGTCGCAGAAAACTACAGCCAAGTCATCTTTATGTGATGGAAGAAGCAGCAGCCCAGGTAAGATGAGACCGATGAGCTCCGTCGAAGGTGGTAAAAGTTCATCATCTGTATCAAGGTGGTGCTATGCCCCTTCCATGCATTTCTCATTGTTGCTCCGGACACAAAAGGTTTGGATCAGGTTTTTCTATTATACTGTCTTCATATCTCTCTTTCTTTGTGATGCTTCGTCGACTCAGATCTATTGTGGCCATCTTATTGAAAAGATGGAGCGCTTGATAATATTCCTCTCCCAGCGCAAAATCTATTCATGTTCGGGCTATCTTGTAGCCTTTACCTGCGGACTTTGGGTAAAAAGGTAAAAAT